ATCCCTAGAAAATACTAATAATAAAGAGTCGTGGCTTATTTACTGATAAGCTAATGCCAGGGCACTTTACATGATGTACCCTCTCAAAAAAAAAAAAAAAAATTTTTTTTTTAAGAGACAAGAGTCTCACTTTGTCATCCTCGGTAGTGTACCGTGGCGTCACAGCTCACAGCAAACTCCAGCTCTTGGACTTCGGTGATTCTCTTGCCTCAGCCTCCCGAGTAGGAACCCGCTACCCTCGGTATATGGGGCCGGCGCCCTACACTCACTGAGCCACAGGCACCGCCCGCCTCTCAAAAATGTTAAAACCAAATCATGCATGCTGAGAGAAATGCATGTGACTGTACATAAAACCATTTTAAATGATTATCAGATAACATGAACGGTAATTTCTGAAGCAAATATTTTTGCTTTAAAGAGGTCAAAAAGAATAAAATAGCTCACCAGAAGCCTATCACAGGCTTTATGGTAAATATGTTCAATTCCATAATTTATCCCAAGATAAAGCCATTTCCACTGTACACAGTCCCCAGCAACTATTCAGCAACTTCCAATGTGTGATCTATTGCCCACTAGATCTTCTGCCACAAACCTCAAGCCATTCTTTAAAATTCCTCAGCTCACACCACCCCCCCCATAAAAACGGGAAGGAGTTATAAAACCTTAAGAAATAAAAATAATTTTTTAAGTGGAAAAATACAGGCGGACTCTGCACCCAAGATCTTTTCCTTTACACCTGACGATTTGGTATTTATCTGAACTATCTACTTTCATAGTCCGGGATAATCCAGGGTTCTTCCACCCCAACTAACATGATCACTCTCTAACAAATGACAGAGTCCTACGTGACCACTGTCCTAGCCTATTTAATCATTCAAGTTTCCCAGCTTTATTGTTATCATAAAGTTATCACTTCGCTCCAAACTCACATTACACAAACCCAACATACACTCCATTCCATCCTTCTTGTTACCAACACGCTCCAATCCAATGTAAAACCTATCGTAACATCAGCTCTTCCTTTATAAGTTTTTCCCATATTCCTAACAGTCTCAATGTCCTGCCGCCGTATACTCCCAAGCTCTCTTTACTGAACGCAATTCCAGCCCAGGGTTACACTCTCTTCAGCCCAATTCCTACAACCCCAAGCCCCACCCCCTTCCATCACGCCCACTGCGGCCTCTGCCACGAACCCTAACACTCCGCCCCAAGCCCAGCACTACCTCTAGATCTCCTTGGGGTCCTTTTCGTCAGCCTAGCCAGACCCAGATCAGGTCTCCCAACTGCCTAGGAGTTCCCGACCACCACTCCATCCCCGCCTCCATCCTCTCACCGAGTAGCAGCAGCTTCACTTCCTTGGCTGCTTTCTCTCCGTCCACCCGCAAGTTGCGGTCAATCATCTTGCTCCGCTCCACCGCCGCCTTGTCCTCGGCGCTCAACGTGCAGCCCATGGCGGCGGCGGGAGAGGGGACCAGGCCCGGGCTCACTCACACACCGCAGGAACTTCGTTCGGCTCGCCTGAGACAGCGTCTACGGCTGGGCGGCGGCCCTCTCGGTCAGTTCCCCTAGCACCCCGAGGAACCGGATATCCGGTGTTACGATACTTCCGGCGACGCCCCGCGGCCGATACCGCTTGAACTACTCTCGCTCTGGGAGAGGCAGTGAGACCGAAAGCGGAAGTCACGGGGAAGTGGCGTCAGTCCTGGGCGGTGGTTCGGCTGAGTTGCTGGGTGCCGTCAAGTCGCTGCGCGCCACCCAACTTTCATCCCCTTTTACGTTTCAGCGCCCTGGTTTGGCTAAATGTAGAGAAACCCGGGCCTCCGACTCGTGATGCCGTCTCTAGGTCCTACAGCTGGTTTGGAGGTGGAACGGTGGAGGATTCCCAAATGAAGGCTCATTCCGCACGGGAAATTTCGCTGGGAATTTCTTGCCAGCCGCAAACTTCTTTGAGCTCTTGCTGCGGAGAACTAGGAGCCCAGCCCCGGACACTTTTTCTGCCAGGGTTGTCTCAGTCAGATCTATGGGACGGGAGCAGATTGCCCAGCCTGGGCTCCGACTGCACCTCACATCCTTACAGATCAGATGTGATCTGTGACGCTGACCGAGTGTAGGACTTTAGCAGTGCCTTTTTGCCCTCTCCTCTGGCCCACCGCCTCCTGCAGCCGATACATGCCCTAATCCTTGTGGTGTTACCGCATGAATTTCTGTGGACTTAAGAGTTGCTTAGCAACGATGTCGGCAAAAGGCCACTTGAAATCGTTAGGATATACTCGACAATCTGAAATATAAGCGTGTAGTTCCTCCGTGCTGCCTATCTCTCCAGTAAGCCAGATTGTTCTTCTACATTAGGACCTTAGGACTAATAATAGCAAGACAAGTCAACCTCAGCCTCACACCCTAAAACAAACCAGTGTATCCTGTATAAGATCTACTAGACAAAAAGGGAAGTTACAGTAAAATTTGTCTCTCAGCTCTAGTATCACCTGAAAATTAATAAATCTCCCTGTGAAAGCCCCAGGCTGATACCCTCTTTCACAGATAACCCTGGGTACTCCCGTGAAGGTGGTCCTAAATTACCTTTACAGTCACCACCACAATTATTCTTACCATACATTCTGGCCAGGGGAACTCAGCCCCTAAAGTCTTTCCTGTGATTATAAATTACTTTATTTCTCTAATAAAATCTGGACCTTAGGATATAAGGTCTCAGCAGGTCTATATAATGATGATACATTAATTGGAAGAATTTAATTAAAGGATTAATAGTCCCCTTGAACAGCTTCATCCACCATAATACTTTTATCAATGCCATTTTTCACCATTTTACAATTCTTCTACTCATTCCCAAATGACTGTTAGAATGAAAGAGATTGATTTTCCCTAATCAATTCTTCTGGGGAAAAAGGGCAAGAGGAAAGGGAAGAAAAATCAGTATTTATTGAGTACCTATTGGCCAGGTATGGCTAGGTGCTTCCACATCTTACTTCTTTTAATCCTCACAACAACCCTGTGAGGTAGGTAATAATGCTCCCCATTTTACAGATGAGGAAATAGGCTCAGAGAAATTAAATAGCTTTCCCAAATTGACACAGTGAATAAGTAGATATGTTTGACTCCAAATTCACCCCCTTTCTACCATACCTCATAGGATATTGCCTAGGGACACCTAACAACATAAGGTGTAAGGTCTTCATCTAGAATTGGGAGCCACCCAAACACCAGCATGATGCAGGCAAAAGCAACTGACCAGATGGTTGCCTCAATCGATTATTCAGAGAGTTAGAGAGGTCAGATTCTGTCCAGCAACAGCTTTCGGGCTGAGGATTACGTTATTAAACTTTATCAAAACATCCTGGTGACTAGTAAACTCCTGGAAGGTGGTCATAGCAGAAATTGTTGGGAAAGTCCTCAGCATAGTAAAAAGAAATTTTTATCCCCTTCATGATCCACTCCTACAGAGAAAAATAAATAGCAAATGAATCCATGTATGTCAAATTCTGTAATAGAGGCCAGTGAGATCCCAGTGTCAAGAAATTTAAGCCCTAATTAAATATATTCTTGCACTTAGAACTTTTGGAGGGGGGGCTCAGCACCAGCCACATACACCAGGGATGGCCGGTTCCAACCCAGCCAGGGCCTGCCAAACAACAACTACAACAAAAAAATAGCCAGGCATTGTGGTGGGTGCCTGTAGTCCCAGCTACTTGGGAGGCTGACGCAAGAGAATTGCTTAAGCCCAAGAGATGGAGATTGCTGTGAGCTGTAAGGCCATTGCACTCTACTAAGGGCAACATAGTGAAATTCTGCCACACACACAAAAAAAAAAATCGTTTTTCTTTGGTGTATGTAAAGGAAGGGTTGAAGGGCAGAGTCTAAGGAAGAGGCAAAATAACAAAATGGCTGCCAAACAATGTTTCTTGCCCTCCTCTTTACCCCTGCCCCTACATACATACGTCTTTCCTACTTCCACTGGACTCACACTGCCACCTGCTGGCAATACTTTGGGTGGACTAGCTGATCAGCGGTGCTTGAAAGAAGCTTTTCCCCTATCCAGGAATGAAATTCTTCAGAGTGAATTTATCTTAAAAGGAAGGAGAGAAAAGTGAACATGTTTTTCAATCACAAAGGACTCTCCTTGCCATACATACTATATTTCTAAGGAATTTCTTCAATATAATAGGGACTAGGCTAGTCTACTGGTAGGAAGACAGAAACCTAGAAATTTTCCTGGATCAAAAAGGGAGAAAGTTATGTTCGCCCAGTTTCATTTAATAAATTTTTTTCTTCACTAGAGACTTTCCTTTACAACCCCTTCACTTCTACACTCTGCAGAAAGCGTCCATGTTGGTATCTTGCTGCAATAGACCAAACTCTCAGATGTTAGAACCATGGATATATTCTTTAATATGCTAGTTCTCAAACACATTCTACAGTGCTTTATCAGATCTAAATGTTCTGCGAAAATACAATGTACCTGATCAAATTAGATTATGAATTCCTTAAAGACATTCAGTGACTGCACATCCTCTGTGAATCCCAGGGAACAGTGGGTGTTCTTCTATTATGCACTGAATTGAACTGAAGGAGTCAATGTTGATATCAGTATAACTTTTTGTCATAAAAGTTATTTATTGGCTGTTTAAAGGGGAAACTATCCCACTCCCACCAGCCCATTTTCCCCCTTTGATGCTCGATGGGCCAGGATTTTGTTCAAATACAGACCACAACACCCTCTGGTCCTGCCTTGACTCTTGAATGTTACCTGATTCAACTGAGAGAAGTGGGATAGACAGGTGGCCCCTGATGGGTGTCCTGTCCAGTTTGCAATTATTCCCTCTTCATTGAAAATATCACCACCAGTACTAACCAACACAGTTCCTACAGTCTCAAACAGTGAACAGCAAAGCTCAACTCCTGTGCCCTTTCTCCAACCCAGGGCTATAGATAAGAGAGAGATTTAAGTCTTTGTCACTGAAGCTAATTTTGAGAGCGATGAATGAGATTAGGGAGGCATTTAATGGACCATGGAAACCCCACCCTTCCCATGCCCAACCTTAGTCTCTTGTACCCGATTGTCCAAGGGGCTGGAGGTGGGTCACTGCCATGAGGAGAGAGATCAGGGAGGCCAGTCCTGGAAAGAAAAGATTTGCAGTATTATTGATCAGGGTTATTACCTGGCCTCTTTATATCACCTTAGAAATTCAAATGCCAAACCTACCCTTAGCCATCTGACCCCCAGTCATTCTAATTCTTTATCCTAAAAGAAAAAGTCATCTTGTCTTATTCTTGTCTTTGTTGAAATCACAGGCCCCAAGCCTGATCTCCTATGTGCAGGAGAGAAACAGAAAAATAGAACAGAAGGGCTTTTCCCAAAGAGTGGGAGAAAGAGAGCTGCAGTCAGCTTTCCTGTCTTCTATTCCATGTACCCTAATTGCTATTTCACCTTCTGGACAAATTTAGGAAAGGAATACACCCTGCTGGTCCTCTCACTTAAAGGAAATCTCAGTTATAAAACTAGAAAATGGTCTATTAATTCAAATGGAAACCCTTGACTGTAAATGAGTTTTTTAAAACCGAGCAAGGAAATGAGAAAACATAGGTCATTTTCTTACCTTGCTTGGGTGCAATTACTGCCCTGGACAATTACACCGAAAAATAAAATGTCCTAAATGGCCCCCAGAATAACTACAAATGGCCCGGTGCCCTATATCCTCCAACTCCTCCCCTTAATTTCCCTGCTTCCTAGGGCATGGAAAGTTCACTCACTGGTTGAGAGGCTTCACCTCACCTTTGTGACCCTTTTCTCTCGTCATTGTCTCATCATACCCAGGTTCCCTCCCCCAGTAGTCAAAGATCACAGCCAAGTCCAAGGCTTTCGCCACACATTCATCTGTTGGCTCTGTTCCTGACCCAGGAAACACTAAGCAAAAGCTGTGTGTGGAGACCCCAGGCCCAGCCCTAGCCAGCTGGGAAAAGGTGATCCCACCAGGTGGTCCTTGCAATCATAACCGGCCCCCAGCCCCATCTCCCTCCAGGTGTTCAGTGGCCCATCATGACTCCAGCTGGGGTGAGGGGGCAGGACCGAGGTAGCCGTCTGACATGATGATGTCGCTGGTGAGTTGCTGCTCCAAGAACTCAGAGGTTTCCTCAGCTATCTGGCCTGGGATTCGAAAGTCAACAGCAGGTGGCTCCTGCTTGGGGCTGGGTAGGGGTCGGGAAACCCAGGACTCAGTGGGACAGCCAGTCCCCTGAAGGAACTGCAGGAAGTTCTCCTCAATGGAGCCCTCCCGGCTAGGCAGCCTCAGCTCCTCCTCTGGAGCTGGCTTGAAGAAACAGACAAACTGCTTGCTGAGCTCCCCCCGGATCTGCCGGTTGAGACATCCATAGAAGAAAGGGTTGGAAGTGAAGCAAAAGTAGCCGATCCAGGTCACCACACTCTCCACCTGCCCAGTGGAAATGGGCTGAGCACTCAGGGCAACGTAGAGGTGGAAGGAGAAGTAGGGCAACCAGCAGAGCAGGAACTGTCCTCCCACAGCCAGGAGAACCACTGCTGCCTTCCCTCCCCCAAACGTCCGGTGTGGGGTGGTCTGGGGGGCCCCCGAGCTGGTGACCATGGTGGAGCGGCTGCTGAGAGACTCGGAGCGTTGCCGGGGTGTCTCCATCCACGTGGGCAGCGGCCCATGCTGCATGGCAGCCACACGAGCCACTCGGAACATGCTGCAGTAGACCACAAGGATGAGGAGCAGGGGCAACAGGAAGTAAAGGACAGCAAAGACCACCACAAAGAGCTGGCAGTAGGCACTGTGACTCCATTGGAGTGAACAGCCTGGGGGGACACTGGGAGCTCCTTCCTCCCAGGAGACCCTTCCCAACACTGGCACCGAAGCCATGGCCAAGGCCTTCACCCACACACCCACCAGCACAGAGGCCACCAGCCCCAGCGTCATGCGCACCTCATAGCGCATGGGGTGGACCACGTAATAGTAGCGCTCCACATTGATGGCCGACACCGAGAGGATGGCCAGGCTGACAAAGCATACGCTCAGGAACAAGTAGAGGCGGCAGGCCACCTCCCCAAAGAGGGCATGGTCAAAGAGGGCAGAGCTGGAGAGCATGGCCAGAGGCATGAGGGTCAGGGCAGCCAGCAGGTCCACCAGGCAGAGGTGGAAGACGAAGACAAATTTTCTGAGGGCAGGTGTCTTGGCAATAACAGCCATCACGGCAGCATTGCCAGCCACAGCAGTCAAGTCCAACAAAAGCATGAAGAAGAGGGCCACAGATTCTGAAGCTACATCCCGCAGCCCCAACTCTGGAACACCACTTGCAGTAGAGGGACCTGGGGTTTGAGGGACCCTCCCCAGAATAGAAGAGTTCCCTGATGACTGGGGGATGGGTGAGGACTCCATGGGGCCGAAAGAGGACACCCAGGGTACCTCCTGTCACAGGCCCATCCCCCATCCTAGTCTAGCAATCCTGGGATGGTGAGCCCAGGCTCAGGTTTCCCAGTTTCTTGAGGAGCGCCTCCTACTGGAGCCTCTTAGTCAGGCTCTTATCACCAGCCTTCCAGGCTGCGTATGTCTGTGTCCAGATCGCAAACCAGGCTGCTGAGGGCTTAAAAGCTCATATCCCCTTCCTGGTAGGAGGTGGCTCCAGAGTATGCCTTGGAGACTGCTAAGAGGAGTCTGCGAGGAGACTGAGAGATGTGGGAGGCTCACCCACTCAACACTCCACCTTCAGAGCGGCCTTCAGTTCTTCTTTGTCACTTCCTTTCTGCCATTGTCCATAACCTTCTACCCTTTCAAGATATATTATCCAGGGATTCTGAATCTTCTGTCTCCCCTGGCCAGGGTCCTGCTGAGCTCTGGGATAGCACCCCAGTTTTAGGGTTGCTTATGTAAGTTTCCTGATTTCTTATTTCCTTAGGATGGGAGGCGCTGAGGAGTAGAAGGAGCAAAAGATTTGGTCTCCAGTACCAGGTCTGGGCACTACTAACTCTGTGACTCTTCTCAACTTCAGTTTCCTCAGAAAGGCATCTGTAAAATGAAAGGAATAATACTTGCTTCACAACTGTGCTTGTGGATCCTGTGTGATTCATTCATTGCAATGCATCGTACCAATCCTCAACAGTAACATTTATATGGTGCTTTCCACATGCCAGGCCCTGTTCTAAGCATTTGACATATGTTAACTCATTTTAATCCTCACATAACCCTATAAGATAGATATATTCGCATCTTTATTTTGCAAGGGATAAAACAGGTCTAGAAAAGCTAAGTAACTTACCCAAGGTCACACAGCCAGTAAATAGCAAGACACCTGCCTGGGCAGTCTGGCCCCAGGGCTGGTAGTCTTCTTGCCCACTGTGCCATGCTGTGTATGAAGGTGCCCTCCACATCAGCTGCACATCCAGTAAATAATTGTTGTATTTGAACTGACTCTAAAAATGTCTCTCATTGGTCTAAGGTTATCTCTTGAAAAGGCGAACTGTGCCTTAGCCTGTTCTGACATCACCAGTCCCAAGACAAAGAGCTGACACTTTGGGATTGTTGAGAAGGAGCAGTGAAAACAAAATGTCCTGGCTGGAAGGAAACCAGGAGGTCAGCTCATCCAGCCTCCACTTTCCCCAAAGCCAGAGGTAGAAATCATTTTAAAACTGCCCTTCTCTATCTCCTCATGAACTTCTCAAGGCCAATGTGGCTCTGCCTGTGGGAGAAGAACTGCACCCAAATTCCCACTCCCAGCTCCTTAGATCTCTGGTTGCTGGAGCTGACCTTCAGCACATCCCTGACCCAAAGCCGTCTTGGTCCTAGACTGTTACCAAGGTCAGCACAAGGAGTGGAAGCTGGCACCTGTGTAAGGGTAGGTAGGTGTGAGAGTGGGTAGGGGACTGTGCTCGTGGAAGTGGGTAATCATAAAACTGAGAAGAAACCTGGAAGAAAAGAAAGTCTTTGATTCAGTGTGCCTCCTTTTTTCCTGATGAGATACTGCTTTTATGTATCTTATTATCCATATTGAGTTTGCATATAATTGAAATAGGTTGCCCAATGCAATAAAAATGTTTTTCCTTGACATATATTCTTGCAGTCCAGATTCACTGAGTATAGTGTGCTGAGTTAGGCAAACTAGAGACAAACTGAAGATAATGCCAAGTCTGATGGCCTTTCTACAGACAAGTCACAAGTTACCTGGGACACAGTTTCCTCATCTGTGAAATAGGAAGATTGGACTAAACCACCTCCAGTGATCCCTACATGTGATCCTCACATTTGATTACTCTGTGAGTTCTGTGCTCTGGAGATCCTTGTGGTTGCTCAGGTTTAAAATCCATCATTTCTATGACTGCAATAAAGAGGACCACGTGGCCAAACAGGCCTCACTCTCCTCACAGTGACAGCCTCCTTGCAATCACTGTTAAATGCAAACCTTGCACTAACCCAACTCCTAACATGCTACACATGCAATAGGTTTTATGAATTGCATGAATCAATAGAGTTTTGTGAGTTGCATAAAACTCAGATTTGTCAGTTGACTCCCTGTCCCCTAGTACAAACTCCAAAAATACACGAACTGTCAGTCAGTTGTGTGTCAGCCAGGGGACTGTCTTCTGGAAAGGGTAACCTGGGCTCCAGGACTCAAGGCAACTCTGACTTTGGACAACTACCTAGAGATGTGCATCTTTCCAGGGATGCAGAAAGCTCATTTTATAGTTAAGATGGCTACAGAGACTCTGGGTCTGCACAGAAGATGAATAGGAGGGCATAAAAGTGGCCTCCAGTTTCCCCAAAGCCAGAGGTAGAAATCATTTTAAAACTGCCAAGAAGAGCAGTTTTAAAACTGTCAGAAGCGCCTACCAAGAAAAATGCTGGAAAGAAATAGTAGGAGAAACATACCTCCCCCTTTCTCTCCACGCCACTATTTACCCATCCCTTCTACCTGTGAGCGGAGCCCAGGAGATATGGCTCTGAGTCTCTTGGTGCCTGAAGGAGAAAAGGCCACCATGTCTGGATAGAAACCAAGATTCTCAGATAGAGAGAAGCAGACGTGGTTTCCACGTGGAGATGGAGGGTACTATGCAGCCATGATGGGACCCTAGGCAAGAAGGACATTTAATTTTTTCATAGCCCCCTCAGTCTTGCCAGTATCCCTACAATGACTCCTAAGTTCCAGAATTCCTATTTATCATTTAACAGACAGACTAATATCCCTGGCTACTCAGCACTCCCTCACTGATGGCTGGGGTTATGGAGGGTAGGGCTATGGTGGAATGGTTTCATAAGGGAAACCTAGGATTTCTAGCTCATATCATTATGTCTTCTACCAGAACAGATGCTCTCATTCTCCTACTGCTGCCTTCCAACACCACGCCTCTTATCTCCAGAACCTCTTGGTACCTAGAAGGCTTTGCCAATAGGGCCTGAGGTCTGGGCCTTTAGTAGGGCATGGTCAAGTTACAAATATTCTTCTTTCAGGATGCAAGATATACATAAGTGCTCAATCCAAGGCCATAGAAGTATCGGTGTGATTCACATGTGCCTATTTCCCAGATACAGAGCTTCTGTGCCAAGGACCCGAGCCTGGCCTTCCTTTAGTCAAGAGCATGCCCCTCTTAAGCTAAAGGAGATTTCCAGGGAGATACAGTATCTCTCCCCAGCAGAGTTACCTACTCCCAGGCCACAGTTGCCCATCAGCCAGATGCTGAAGGACCCATTTCTAGGATGTGGGGGACCCATCCCTGTGATAGGGAGCAGGACAGATGAAAAACACTGTGTGCAGGATGTGGGTACTCCTGCCAGTAAGAGATGATCAACCCCCCAGCTCTAGGAGCTTCCGAGATGCCCACACCCCAGTACTGCCTTCGGGATACCTGGGAGCCCATCACCTGATAAAACTGCCTACCATAATGCAGGGAGGGCTGGTCCTTGGAATGTTACCCTTCTGTGGAGCACCTCAGTACTCACCACCAGGCCCTGGGTCTGGTTCCCATTCCTGGCCTAGTCGGCAACTCCTACCTTTGCTGAGCAGCTCCCGGCTTCCATGTGATAGCTTCTCTCAGCTGATGCTTCTCCAAGGCTGCTGAAGCCTAAACCACTGCAGTGAGCAGTGAGAGGCAGCCGGCAAAGCAGAATGCTCTGACAGCTTCTGGGTCCTAATGGCCTCCTGCTTCCCATCCAGCCTCTTGGAGCCACTTCTGAAACAAAAATCTGGACACCAGTGCCCCAAGCAAGGTTCCCAAGAGTGAACCCAACTCCTCTCACTTCTATTAGGTTGCTGGACTGCATTTCAAAAGCTTCACAGGGCAGATAATGACAGCCAGGGGAGACCCTTCTGACCAGCTTGGTGAAGTTAAAATAAGCACTTGGAGTTAGAAAATTGGGGTTCAAGGCCTGCCATGGCATTTACCAGCTGTGACCCTGAGTAAGTCACTTCCCATTTTTAGTCTTTGTTTCTTATACATTCAGAGGGAATATAAGATGGATGATCTCTGAGTTTCCTGACAGCCCTGCCATTGCGTGGTTCTGTGTGAAGTCACAGCCTAGGTGCTCTTGTAGCGTGCAGACACAGGGCAGCAAGGTTGACGCCAGGGAGAGCTGAGGCTCCAGGGGATGGGCCAAGGTTTGGCTTCTTTGGAATGTTGGCTTCATTTGAATGTTGCCAAATGTGTATAGCACACAGACTTAGGAGTACCAGCCAGGTTTGAAGGGGAGCTGAAGGCCTTGTCTTGACCCTGTACTTGCCCCCCACCCCAAAGCATATTATTATGTATTGGTGTTTTCCTAGATTGTTTGAAGTAGGGCTATGAGGGCTGATGGAGGCGGGGAGATCCAACATTCCCCTGAGCTACCCTGTAAACCACCACAACACTGCTCCCTAAAGATAGAGTGGGAGCCAGGTAGTCAGGAATGCTCACTCTGGTCTGGATTTGTAGGACAGAACAGAGCTGGAGAACATCATCCATGGAGCATCACCTGTCCATGTGATAGGTCTTTGCAGGTGCAATGAAGGGGCATGGCCTCTGCTAGCTTTGTAGCCCCAGGTATATGACCAGTACCCAAGGACGGGCTTCTAACATTGCAGAGCTGTCAGACATCCTAGGCCAAGGTAGCCATGTTTCTGAAGAGATTGCTCGAAGCCACACAGCTCCACATGGCAGAGCCATGAGTCTAGACAGGGAATTCAGGCATGATACCCACTCCAAAGCACACTGCCCTGAGATAAAGCATACTTGCCTATCCAGTAACCTCTGCCTCCAAAAAGGAAGAAAGGGAGTTCTAGAATTGTTTACCAGACCCAACCCAAAGAGCCATAAGAACTGTGAACTCAAGGAACTCAGGGGGGCTGTTGGCTGCCCCAAGCCTCAAGTCAACAGCAAACAACAACAAAGAGGTCATTGACCCACCTGGAGCCGATGCAGCAATCTCTGCTGTCACTAGCCACTGAGTTCTTACAAGTGCCAGGTCCTCTAAACACAGTATGTTCAATCCTCACACAGATCTACG